TGAGGTTGAAAATACTTTTGTATTTTTGTGATATGTAAAACTAAAAAACTCAATTGTTTTGTTTGGCACTTTTCACCGGCATACATTAGATTCATGTATTACAAAAATATAATTTTTTTTTTCAAACAATGTGAAAACATTACTTAGAACTGTATTTGTTACTATATCTGCAATAATATTTTTAAATAATTACCTTTCCAGTGCTTGAATTTTGTGAGTATTTGGAAATAAACATTGACTCTTGCATATTTCTATTTCAAAGGAATATTTGTTTACATGAAAATACTTTGCTTGCTTTTTTTGATTTCATTGTATTATGAATATTTTGGTTATATTCAAATTTGTTAAATGTTTTGTTGATTTCAGTAGTATACTGTTGTATATAATTTTATCTCATCTTTTAATTTCCATTTTCTATTAGTCAATGGGAATAATTAATTTTTCCAGTCAAGGGAAAATACTTGTACAATCTTATAGCATTCCAAGTGTTGCCAACTGTCAAATTGATTATTAAGCCATATTTGGTGTAAAGAAAATAAAGGATACTAAATATTTTAAGGTGAAATAAATATTTAAGGGTAATACTTAAATCTAAAGGTTCGCGTTAGTGTTTTTTTTGTGTTTCTGTTAAATTCTCTTCCTGTTGTTTTCTTAAAAATTAAGTTAAAGTTAAAAATATCTTGATTTTTTAGACGATGTTCTAAAAATAAATATATTCTAAAATTTTTAATCTTACTTTAAAAATATTGTTTGTATCAAAATAGAAAGTACTGAAAGAAAGCAAATTCAAAAAATTAAATTTAAACCAAACAAAAATTTAATCAAAATTCAGAATAAGCAAATTACTAAGTTTTCTAATAGTGAAAGAAAACGGGTTCAACAATAAGTTCTCTCCCTTTTTCATTTTTTGATTACAAGCCAGAAGAAACTACAATTTTGCAAACTTTACGTACACATCTGTCACTACAAAAAAAAAAAAAAAAAGGAGCGAAAATAGAACAAAATCTAACCCAAAATATATTTAATTTTTAGTTTTATTTACTTAATATTTATTACTCCATAAATAGGAAAAGTAGCTAGATGCTGATTGACATCAGCTAAATGCACGGAAAATGATCTTCAAAAAAGCAAATTTGGCAACTCTGGTTGTCTCTAAAAAGTAAATTGTATTTATCGCGAAGTGTAGTTGTACAGTTATACTTAAACAATAGTTTATCTATGTAAAATTATTGTTTGTACATTATCAGTAAAATAATTGGACATTTAAGCTACTGTTACTCTTTATCAGAAAAATATAATTAATTTAGATACCTCCACTCAGCTTTGATACATTGATTTTAAATTAATTTTTAAAAATGAAAAAGTATTCTTTTTACTGCTAATTGAAAGCTAAATGATTAAATTTATTATTTCCAGTAAGCAAAATACTTTGGTGTATTTCAAATAGAAATTATATTAATTGAAATCTCAAATTTTTGGTTGTTTCAGAAATCATTTAAAATCAGTCATTTTTGACACATTTGTAAAGAAAAGTTAATTCTCAGCTTTAGAAATCTTACAAAAAGAAAAAAAAATACTTTTTTGAAACTTTATTTGAGGAATATTACCTGATTTAAAAGTAAAATTAATTTGATTTCAAAAAAATATTATTTAATTTAAGTTTAAAATAACAGAGAAATGGATTTTTAAAACAAACAGTAGCAGTGATTTACACACTTTTTATTGCTCACCAATCACTTAAGTGCTGGAATGTGTTGGCAGATTTATTTGCTGATATTTTTCTTTAATGTTAATGTTTAACATTAAAAAAAATCCTTTTTGTAAACAAGTCATACAACATATGGCAAAATAAAAAAATAAACTTGTAGCAAAAATATTAAAAAGTTGTTAATAAGTAATAAAATTACAATTGTGATTATAGCAAAGTAGATTAAAAACAATAAAGCATATTTCTAATGCAAAAAATGAGCAGACTTCTCTGATCTTGGACGCAACTGAGAATGAATTTTAATTATATCCATTATTGTATTTTGTCTTGATGACTGAGAAGCTAGTCTCACAGAAAAAATAAGTTGAAGAGTTTTAAAAAGCAATTTCAGCGGAAAAAGATTTCCTGGTTTTAATTTTATCCAAAAAGAACCAAGAAAAATGTAATTTCAAAAACTGTCTTCTAGCCATATAGTAGCACAAAATATTTAATAGTTTTATTTTATTTAATGCATTTAACACAAATCTTTGGGGAATTATGATTGTCGTTCTTTATGAGTTAAATTAAATTGAACTGTAGAATTAGACAGTATTTCACCTATCGTAACTTTTAGTAATCCTTGACTTATTTTATCATTTTGAACCCTGACCATACTGTCTGAAGACATCAATAAAATTATTCTATTTATTAACTGATTATAGGTCTCTTGGTCACTCCATCAATGATTCTTTCATTAATTCTAGACCCACATGAAACACATGTACACATATATTTTAAATTCTTTGTTTAGACTTTAAATATTAACAAATTCTCACAATATGTTGTCATTATGACATCAACCATAATAGCTTATTTGAATATAAATGTTAAAAACACAAAAAAAATAAAAACGTTTTTCTACTGAGTCTTGTAAAATGCCATATGTGAGAAGGTATATATGGTTGAACTGTGTTCATAAAAGACAAATTCCACTGCTTAGCAAATACTTTCTTTTCCAACAGTCATTCTAAATAAAATAGAGCTGTTAATATAAAAAGAGAACAAAATTAGAAATTATTTAATAAACTTTAGTTTTGATTTGTCGTATACATATGCTGAATATTATTTGAACACAAATCACTATTTTCTTTTGTAGAAGAAAAATAGAAATTTATTTTTCAAGTCATACCATTACTCTTAAAATATAAAATAAATGATAATATTTTTTCTTTTAGAGCCAAAATACAAATTTGCATCTCTCTTTACAGAACCGAAGAAGTTTATTGTTTAAAGATATTGACTTGAACACTTTCAGTCTTCTATAGATAAAGGAAAACTTTTCTTAGCCAATGTGTTTTATCCTTTGATGGATTTTATCAATGCAAATGTAAGGATTTTATTTTGCAACAAGTATTTATAAACAGAAGTAAAGATGTTGTTAATTTTACAGAATTTTAAATTTAAAAATTGTTATATTCTGTGCTAATAGGAATATACATACTTGAAAAACAAGGTGGATAAAATAAGTAAAGGTTTATTGTAAAAAACCAGTACAATAAGAATAAAGGTAACAGTTATGCATAAGGTCATCACAAGTAAATCCAGTAGTGAGTGTTACTATTGGAAGGTTGGTAGTTCTCGTGTAAGTCTGAATCGTACTCAACAGATCTCTGCTAGTCGATATTTACCAGCCTCCCCACGAGGTAGGATGTGGCACAAGACCGAGTTTAATGTGGGGTAATTTGAGCCTGTAGGCTCAGCCGAAATTCCCCATAGACCCTGTATTTCCAATTTGTCAATCATATTCTTATAGTAATTTTTAAAAAATTATTTTTGCATAGCAGATTAGAGATAATTTTTCTTAGTAAGTTTATTAATCTTAACTGTACTTTATCTGGGCTGAGTTATATTTTCTTTTAGAGCTTTAGTATAAAATATTTTGTGTTTAGTTGCTGATTTTTCATGAAACATAATTGCTTCCAGGTCATCTATGATTTATCAGAGTTTCTCAAATATAATCATAGATGTTGTTTTGATAAAAAAAATGTTACTTTCTTAATGAGACACTGAAGATATTTGGCTTGGAAAGATTTGACAAAAAAAATACTCATTAATAATCACAGAATGAAAAGAGCTCCCAAAAATCATATACAGTTACATGATATTGTTGCATTGATTGAAATATAACAAAACTGTTGTAGAAAATGACAAATGTATACAAAACAGTTATCTTGCTGAAATGTAGAACAAATTAAGAATATAAATTTGACTTCAGGCAAATAATTCACATCATAGATTAACAATGAGGTTTTTGTTAATAAAAATGCATGTAATCTTGAATTTTGAGCAAATCCATAAAATAATGTATACTCAGCTTGGGTGAACTGAGCTAACAAATGGAGGATAAAAAATAATTTTTTACAAAAATCTTTCAATAAATTTTTTTTTCAAATCATGACTATTGTCATATTCATTTTTGAAGAAAACATAAGATAAGGATAATTTTTTCCAGATGTGATTAAAGTCTGGAAACACAATAATGAACAGAGGGGAATTCTGTAAAGTATAAATGCTCACATCTGGAAACACAGTAATGAACAGAGGGGAATTCTGTAAAGTATAAATGCTCACATCTGGAAACATAATAATGAACAGAGGGGAATTCTGTAAAGCATAAATACTCACATCAAATTCCAGACATTCTGGGTTAACATTTGGTAATTAGGACAAAGGAAAATGTCTTTAGAAAGCTTTGGTAACATATTTTTCTATGAGCATAAAGCAAAGAATATAAAAAAAAAATTAAGAAATCATCTTTTTTATTACAGTTGGAAATATTTTAAAAACCTTTAGTAACATTATTTCTATTTAAAAATAATTTAAAAACAACTTTTGATTTTTAGTGGCAAACTTAGTGGAAAGTTTGAAAATCATTGATAGTTTTTCTACATAGACTAAACAAGCTTCCAATAAGGAAATTAATTGAATGAATCTTGGAAATGTGAGATCTAATCAGTTAAAGATTGATTGATTGGTTAATTAATTAATTTGTTTTTTCATGGCTTATCAACCTTTTGCAGCTTATTTAAAGCCAGAAAATATTTTAGATTGTAAAAATTTTTTGGAGATAATAATTATTTACTGATAAAAGTCCTACTGATTAACCCATATCTAGGGGGACAAAATGTGGATTCATATGTTTTCCTAGAGTCTTTGTATGTAAGTGAATATAACAAATGCGACTGTAATTTGAACTTGGCTCTTTGATTTTCAATTCCACACTATTATCTCTTACACCATACACACATTCAAGCTGGCAGCAACTGGTATTCCCAAGTGGTCACCCATCTAGATACTGATCAGGCTTGAGGTTGATTAACTTCAGGGATCTTACAAGAACTGGTATTTCAATGTGATATGGTGGTAAGCCATGGATTAAACAGATGTTTTGCTATACATTGTTATTTTGCAGCTTGATTTTATTGGATTTTAATATAAAGATTTATAATAAAAACATGATTTTGTTTGTAAAATTATGCCTTATTTTAACTGTTCAAATGCTTGATAAAAGGTATATATATATATATATATATATATATATATATATATATATATATATATATATATATATAATTCTCAAAATGTGTGTGTCTGTGTGTGTGATCGGATGTTGTTCATGCATTTCTACAGTTTTCATTTGATTTTGTTGAAATTATTTTGTTTGATAGAAAATTCTTCAGTGCCGGTTTTGAGTCCAAATTGTTGGCGACTATGGCTTTCCACTACTTCCTGTCCATTATAACTCTCAGTAACGTTTTATTACTTACTATCTGTTCTAGGATATATATCTTACATAAAAACTTTAATAAAAATAAACAGTTTAAATTATTAGAATAATGTTATTATTATACAGTTCCCTTTTCATGGCCACCCACCATTCAAATTGTTAACCCCCCCCATTTGAGAATGTGCCTCAGTTGCACCTAATTGTTGTTACTAATATTGATTTTTGGGTGGGCTGACTTTAAACTTAAACTGTTCTAATTGAATGGCAAAAATTCCCAGTAATGAAAGACATGTATTATACTGCTAGTGTGCATGTGTGTGTGTGTGTATATATATATATATATATATATATATATATATATATAAATTAGAAACTCAATAATGAAGTAAAAGTAAAATTGAAGTTTGAGGCTTCTATGAGAACAATGATCAGCAAATAAAATTAAGTTATTTTTTTTTATATTTTTATGTTTGAATTTGGCAAAGAATTTTAGGCATTATTTATATAAAAAAATTGATTTAAATGTCTACTCAATTTAATTGAGTAGACATATTGCTTGTCATTGATTTTGTGACTTGTAGGAGAGTAGATATCTGGCTTCATCAGTAAAAGAAGCAAAAAATGAATTAATCAAACAGCCATTCTACAACAATTCTATTCATCAATTAACAAATCAGATTGTTCTCCACTAATATTGGAATCTTTTAGAATTTGGTTGATATTTTATTCTTAATACCAGATATAAGAATGAGGGCAAAGTTTAACATATATACCTGCAAAAACAATGTTGTATCAAAAGTATATTTTTCTTTTAATACTGATATTACTGTATACTCTTTCAGCAATTCTTATTGTCTCAAAAAGCTATTTTTAGAATTTTAATAAAACCCAAACAAGTTAAACTGGATTTAGATATTCTCTTTTTTTGAGAATTGGCAACAAAAGTATTAAACACTATATTTATAATTAAAAAGTTTAATAAATAAATAATATTTAACATTTTTGTTGTCAATTCTTGAGGGGAAAAAGTATAAATCCAGATGCTGGCAACCTATTTTAATAAATTTATATGGTGAGAACAAATGAACGAAATGACACATATTTTCTTAAAGTTTATAATTACAATTACTTGTAATTAAGTGTTTATTTAAATTTTTTTGTTCTCTTCTTCAGACATCTTCATAGTTATTTCTTTATATTTTAAATAGTAAATATTGCATTGTACTACAGCAGCAAAAAATCTGCCTCGTCAGTCATGTATCAAAAGGTACATGATCGCCTAAGCATGTATCATGTATGGCACATAACTGACTGAGTTGGTCCAGATATTTTTATAAACTTTTAAATATAAAATTATTCTTGTATATAAACAATCTAATAAAATAGATAGTGTTTAATTCTTTTGATATAAATTCTTGAGAAAAAAAGAGGATGCATAAATCCAAAAATTACTGAGAGTGCATAGAGTAATAGCAGTATTAAGAGAAAAACCATTCTTTTCAAACACTGATTTTTTACAGTTACATATGTTAAAATTTGCCAATCTGTGAGCATGTTTTTATATCTAGGACATTATTAACCTCAGATTCTATAGGGTGAGTGAGACTATTCAGAAATTAATTTAGATGTTTGTATATAAAAATTGTACTCTATCATTTGATATTTTTTACAAAAATCTACTTATATATTTAAGCCTGTAGCCCATGTTCTGTCTGTTTGTTTAGTTCTGGGAGAGTGTCCATGTAAAATTAATTTGATTTAGGCTGTTTTTGATTTGCATATAACAGGCTTCCAACATAGTTGTTAAATGTTATGTACCATATTTGATGGCATACAAGAACCTTTTTATTTACATTTAATATTAAACTATCATGAGAATTTGGTTACATATGAGTATTGGTAGTCTATAGCAGTACTCAGCAACCATTTTCTGTGTGACTTTTCAATATTCGCACTCCCATCAACCAATAATTTCAGAATTAACAGATTAAATTTAAATGATATTTATTTAAGTTTTAAATATTCAGACCATAAACAAAGATAAATGGAAAGAGAACTTTGTTTCTATTTATAACTAAGCTGGCTTCACCAATTTGTGTGCAAGCAGTATGGAAGAATGCTATTTCTATTTCTGGGTAAAAACAACACTTGCTATTATCATATTCTCTGTATTAGTGATGCGTATGACACAATTTGTTTTTTGATTTAAGGAATTCATCATTAATATGGAGTGAGCTAATATTTAAGAGTGTATTAATCATAATTAGAAAATTTATGAAATTGCCTAATTTGGATAAAATGAATCCTAATGTAAATAATTATTATTCTCATGATAAGAAAAATATGAATAAAAGTTTCTATATACTTGTTATGATGTTGATTTGGGGTTAGTAGAGACAAACGCCAAATAACACGTAACAATAAAAAGGGTTTTAATAGGTTGGTAAAAAGGTACAGAAATCGCCTGAGTCGTCAATAACTAGCTCAGCTAAGAACTTCTCTGTCTACCTGTCTCCCCCATGTCAACTGACATGCCGCTATTTAAAGTCTTTGTTCACAGACGCAGACAAGTTCATCTTCATGAGGGGTGGTAGGTTTCTGACACAACAATACTTTAAATAGAATTTTCTTGTAAAGTTTTCTTTGTTCAAAATAGCTGAGAATTAGGAAAGCCGTAGTTAGAGAAATTATCAAATGAATAGAAGACTAGGTAGAGAAAACAAAGAAGATGTTTACATTATTTACATTGTTTGGACTGTTGTCCTCATCTTTATTGTTATATTCACAATGTTTTGGCCATTGTACACTCCAGCCTTTTTTAGGTGATATATGTTGGAATTTTATACAATAAATATGTGGACAACAGTTTGAACAATGTAAATAGTTACAATACCTCATCTCAGAAATATAGAAAGATATTAAAGAAGAGGTTTATTAAATGCTCATACATAGAACAGGAAAACTTTAGTAAATCAACTACTCAATAAATCCTACTCTGATGTAGTTACTTGCCATATTTATAAGTAGGAGCAGTCCATTGTCACAGTAATAGGGGAGAGCAGGAAGTATGCTGAGTCCTACTCTAGAACAAATCTCGTAATCTTTATTGGTTGGATATCACATTGCAGGTATATGCATCATTATAATAATCTTGTTACATGTGTGTCATTCTCATATTACTGAAGTGCATTATAAATAGAAAATGTACTATAAATTGAGGGTGTGTCATGAACAGTAATACAGTAATTATAGTGAAATGGTCAATTAACATTGATGATTTCCTGGCTTATTCCACTGCTTAAAAAGTTATGGGTGTTAATTCCAAAAACGACCGAACACCCATTGGTGGGTGCTAGAACTCAGGTAGCTGACCACTAGCCTAGAGAGTCTGTGAAACATGAACCTACCAGATACTTTAATTTTGCCTGTATGACCAGAAAGATATTTTTGAGCAATTTTAATAGAAATGAGGGAAGGCAGTACAGGTGTTTTACATATCAAATGTGGTAGGTGTAGCTATATAATTAAGTTTGAGTTATATAAGAGTGATGTATTCACAATTTCTTTTTCCTGCATTTTGTGGGAGTCTTATATTATTCAATAAATTAGAACAATAAACTTATTTCAATATCATGATTTGCACCCCTCCAATATTTTGAAAGTATATATTCACATAATATATACAAAAGTATTAAAACAAAGGGGTATAGTGAGCAAAGATAAAAAAAAAAAATATTGCTCATCTTAAAGTGGCGGATTGAAAAAATATAACCACAAAAATAAAATATTAAATAAAAAAGGGCTAACTGATTATTGCTCCTTACACTGCAGTCAAGGACAAAACGTAAATATGTTCACAATATCCAAAAAAGGGAGAAGAAAACGTACTAATAGAGAATCAGTAATATAAATCACTGACAGATTATATTAAGACCCTGCAGTAACCATTTCTTTTGCTTACAGAGGGAAGGTTGCCTATACTTTATATCAGTCATGGGCAAACTGCGGCCTGTTTGGTCTTTCTGAATGGCATGCTTAATTTAATAAGGAAAATAATGTTTCTTAAAAAGATTATTTTGTTTCATTCTCACTTATTCACTCACATGCTTTCTCCCATATAACCATATATATGAACAATGATTAAATTTCAATGTTTCTTGAAATTTGTAAACTTTCAGTGAAAATAATGTTTTCATCATTTTAAACCATTGGCAATTTTCATTAAGGGAAGTCATATGTGTAAACATATTTTGCTTTTGAAACAGGAAACATTTATAATAATTTTTCTGTGGAGAAGAAATATACTTTTATTTTTAAATGAATAAATTAGAAATAAATCACATGTAATGACATGTGTGAATCACACTGTCATCAGTGATAATATTATCTCAAGACTTTGATTTTTTAATTATAGAAAAATCCTTTCCCAGATTTATACATGATATATGCTTACACATGGTTTTCTGTAGTGAAAATAGCTGAGGTACCTACTATGAAAAATTACCTTGAATATTTTTAATAGTGCAGTTCACCTTCTGATGAGCTACAGATCATGCAGTCCACAGCTCAAAAAAGGTTACTCATGCCTGCTTTGTAGGTCTCAAGCACTTTCAAATGGTCAGTCCTGTTTATGAT